TGGAACTGAGGAATGAACTCAGGCCCTTGTACTTGGCAGGCAAGTGCTTATTCTACTGAGCCATCTCCCCGGCCCCAGGAACCGGGTATTGAACTCAGGCCTTGGCGCTTGCCAGGGAAGTGTTTATTCCACTGAGCCATCTCCCCAGCCCCTTGTTGTTGTTGTTGTTTTGCAGAACTGGGGATTGAACTCTCAGGCCCTCACGCTTGCCAGGAATGCACTTATTCTACCGAACCATCTCCCCGTCCCTTAAAAAGCAATTTGAAGATGAACTTTTCTAGGCTAGATGTGGTGGTGCATGCCTATAATCCCAGTGCTCAGGAGGTTGAGGCGGGAGTATTGCTGTGAATTTGAGGCCAGCCAGGCTGCATAGTGAGTTTCAGGGCCAGCTCAACTACATAGTGAGACTGTCTCAAAAGCAAACAAAAGGGGCTGGGGAGATGACTCAGTGGAAGAAGCGCTTCCCTGGCAAGCATAAGGGCCTGAGTTCAATTCCCATTTCTGCCAAAAAAAAAAAAAAAAAAAAAAAAAAAAAAAAAAAAAAAAAAAAAGAAAGAAAAAAGAAAAAAAAAAGCAGTAAACAAAAAAAAGCAGCAAACAAAAACTTTCCCCCTAAGATGATAGTTAACACTTTAAAACCATTTTAAAAATGTTAAGAAGTGGGGGCCTGCCCCTTAGCTCAGTTCTTTAAGTGCCTGCTTCAACAAAGCAGTCAGGCTGTGGTTCAATCCCCAGAACTCAAGCCAGCCAAACCTAACCTGAAGGTATTCTGAGCCAGCAAAAAAAAATCCTAAAACTGATAAGAAGGGCCAGCCTGATAGCTCAGCAGACTAAAGCGCCTGCTTCAGCAAAGCACAGTGGCTGGGGTTTGATCCCCAGTATGCTGTGCTGTACCTGCCCCCCCCCCCAGGGCTCACAAACTGGCATGGTGGCATGCCTGTCATCCAAGCACTTGGGAGGCTGAAAACAGGAGAATCACTACAGGTCAGATCTACATAATGAGACCCTGTAGACCCTACCCTCCACATAGAAAAAATAAAAATGATAAGCGAAATAGCTTCCAGAAATAAATTCACAAGCCGGTGAGATAGCTCAGTGGACTAACGCACCTGCTTAGGCAAGCACAGGGACCTCAGTTCAATCACTGGCACCACATGTAACACCAGCCCCGCCTCCAGGGCAGGCTGAGCCAGCCAATGCCCAGCGCTGTGGTGGCACACACATGTAATCTCAGGTGTGGGGTGGCTGAAAACATGAGGATCACCACGAGTCCAAGCTGTGTAGTGAGACCCTGCAACAGTGAAATACATTTTTATTTTTTTTAACAATTTTCTTAAAATTTTTAATTTATTTATTTATGTGTGTGTGTGTGTGTGTGTGTGTGTGTGTATGTGTGTGTGGCCAGCTCAGCCCACCAGGGGGCGGGGCTGGCTGGCATGTGGTGCTGGGGGATTGAACCGCGGTCCCTGTGCTTTGCTAAGCTTGTTCTAAGTAGGTGCCTTAGACCACTGAGCCATCTCACCAGCCCGAAATACATTTTTAAAAAAGAAATTCACTCTCAAAAAAAATTTAAACATCCCAATTAGAGGTTTTTTTTTTCCCATTTCATTGTGATGCTGGGGATCAAACCTACGGTCTACTAGGGTTGTCCTTGGCAAACGGACACCACCCAACTAGTTTTTATCAAAATTTACTATGATGGGATCATGTCTTGTTGTCTTCACAAATTTGAGAACATCTTCAGGGCTCAATCCCTTGCTGGCAGCATTGGCCGTTGGATGAAAATATACCTTCTCATGTCTACCTTGTAGAAAAGCAGAATCCAGAACAAATTTCACATCTCCATCATTACAGAAGAACGCCAGGAGTGTAGCACAACCTTGCCAACTTTTAGTTTTTCTAACATGGCTGTTTCATCAGCAAACTGCAGAGTTCCACTCCCAACTCCTAAGTGCTTGGCAAGATCATTTAAATTAACTTGTCTGGGACCGGGGAGATAGCTCAGTGGAATAAGCACTTGCCTGGCAAGCGCAAGGGCCTGAGTTCAATCCCCAGTTCCACCAAAAAGAATAAGTTAACTTGTCTGTCATGAAGAACTGTTACCAACCAATAGCTTCTTTTTGTCTTTAAGAAAAAGATTCTTACTATGTGCTCCTTTCAGATGCTGTATATGAGGCATCATTTCTTCAACTGTAAACACCTCGGAGTGCTCCACAACCTCTGTGCGGGTGGCCAGGGCACCGAGGCACTGCTCTAGGTCTGCCTGTAGATCTCTCCCCGCCATCCTTCGGCCACACTGTCGACGCCAAGGCAGCAGTTTTTTCTTTGATGGCTTTTTTTCACCCTTATGAAAAAGGGGAAGGTGCTCTGCTTAGATTTTATCATTTTTAAAAATTTCCTGTCTGGGCTGGTGAGATGGCTCAGTGGTCTAAAGCACACTTAGAACAAGCTTAGCAAAGCACAGGGACCGCGGTTCAATCCCCAGCACCACATGCCAGTCAGCCCCGCCCCCTGGTGGGCTGAGCTGGCCACACACATACACACACACATAAATAAATAAATAAAAATAAAAATAATAAAATTTCCTGTCTTTCTGTACAAGGTCATACAAATAGCTTGTTTAATGGTTACATCTGTATCCTTGGTTTGGAGAGTACATTTTAGCTAACATGACCTAAAAGCTTCTGGGAGCATCTGAGATGCAATTAATGAAACAAAGAGAAAAGTGCTTAGACCTCTGTGGAAGACTCAGTAGTTGGTGTTGGCCGTGGTATGTGGTGTCAGGACTGTGTCCTGGGCTGGAGAGTAGCTCAGCAGTCTAAACGCCTATCTGGCAAATTCAAGGACCTGGGTTTGGTGCCTGGTACCACATGCCGTGCCGCCCCTGGGGTTATGCCTGTAATCCAGCACTGGGGAGGCTAAGACATCACTGCATGTCTGAACTGCATAGCAAGACCCTGTGTCCTGCAACTATAGAGGAAACAGTGCACTCCTGTTTGTGGTAGTCTTGCAAACTCTGCCAGGCAGGTCCTGGGGCCTTACTTGGGCACCTGTCTCCAGTCTCATTTTGCCATCACCTTCATCCTATAGCAGGATACTTCAGATGTATCATGGTTTGGCAAGAGTGCAAGAGGTCGTGTACCTACCAGGAGAGGTGACACACACCTGGAGAGTGCAGGAAGCAGCCCTGAAAGGTGTAGGGGCCTGAAAGAGAGAGCCTAGGAAAGAAGACAGACTGCTGGGGAGGGAAGAGGGCCAGGTTCAGGGGACAAGCTGGCCTTTGCTGTCTGGCTGTGTCCCTCAACAACTAGAAACAACTTTTAGGGAGGTGGTGCAGTTCTGTGTGGAACCACAAGGTGTCCTTCTGCCCCACTTTTTGTCCAGTAAAGGGGCACTTGAGCTCATCCAACCTTGAAGGCGTGGTATGGGTTGACTACCCTTCCCTGGAGCAGTATTCTGTCTGCATGATCCTGGGAGATAACAGGAAAATTTCTGTATATTTGCGTGTTTCTGGGGTCGGAAGAGCTGTTTTGTAGTCCTCAAAGGACTCGTGGGTTTCCTTTTACATCACCTCTCTCTGGATGTTGTAGTGTGTGCCTCTCTCAACAGAACCAGTGTCACATGAGCAAAAGCTGTCACAAAGCTTGGAGATGGCCTTGATGTCCACCCTTGGCTCTATGCCTTCCTTCACAACCCGACTGAATAGGGGACTACTCCAGCACATGGGTACACGAGCAAGCAGCGCCTCCGGGAGGCCAGATGTGGGCTCAGGTAACCAGGCCATTGTCTCCTTGGTGGTCTGTCTCTGTGTGGGATGCTGGACCTCCTCCCAGGGTACCAACTCCCTCTCAGTGCTAAGTGCTAGCTTGGGGAAAGGCCATGCCTGCCTTCTCAGTGGAGGTGTGGGCTGCCTGGAAGTGCTCACAAGGGAAGGGCCTTCCACAGGCAGTCTTATTCCTGCTGTAACTTGGGGCCAGCTACCCTCTGCTGTGTTGTTTTCTAACATCCAATGTTATTCTGTCCTAAAGGCTTATGTTTCTCTCTGTTTTCCTAACTTGCCTGTCTCCCATCTGGTAGCTGGGGGACTTTATGTGAGGGGAAGTTCAGAATTTAGGATGTGTGGGGCAGGGGACATAACTCAGCAGTCTAAGCACCTGCCCGGCAAGTGCAAGGACCCGAGTTCAGTCCCTGGTACCACATGCCATGCTGGCCCAAGAAATTGGCGTGGTGGCACACATTTGTAATCCTCATGCTGGGGAGGCTGAGATAGGAGGATCACTATAAGTCTGAGCTACGTAGTGAGACCTTGTACAAAAAAAAAAAAAAAAATCAGGATGTCTTAATCACTTCTTTCTGTTAACATTTTCATGTGTCCTAAGTGGTAGTCTACTACAGCAGTTTTTGCCTAAAATGGATATGGGCCCATATTGTATGGTAGAATCTATTAGAGTACAAAGTGAGAGCAGCCTACTGGGGTACTTCTTACCAGGTGATGCCTAGTGGCAGACAGCCAATTCCACCTGCCTACACAAAGCTATCCCTTTGGCATCTGGATTCCAGGCCACCTCTGTGTCTCGCTTTGCCTACTCCGTGTCGGCCTTGACCATTCCCAAGACCCTGTGTTGGCAGAGCGACCCCAGGTTCAGTGGCTGCTGCCCTCTCGGCATCGTGACGTGTGCTCCCTTCCAAGTTGTTTGCTCTTGTGTCCTTTTCCTTCTGTCTTCAGTGTTCTTGTTTCAGTTTCCATTGCCAACTTTCTTCTCCCCATCTGGCCCTGGACTCTCCTCTTTCACTCCAGAGAGAGTCGCTTAAGTGCTGTCATGGCTTTTTCCTTGACACTCAGACCCTGGCCTCCTTCACTGCTTCTCAGCCTCTTTTCCTGGTGTCTTGACCAAACGCCAATTGCCACTGCCCCCAGCTGCTCTGAGGCTCGCCTCCCCTACCCTCTTCAGCCCACCTGGATAAAGAGCAGCGTCTTCCATTGGCTCTGGCCTTTAACACAGACATCATCCCCACTGTCTTTCAGTATCCTCTACTGCATCCTACTTTTTTTTTTTTTTTCCCGGATCCAGGGATTGAATTCAGGCCCTTGCGCTTGGCCAGGCAAGCACTTATTTTACTGAGCCATCTCCCTGGCCCCAGCATCCCACTTGTCAAGGCCGTTTGTCCTTCTCCAGGGTGGATCTCTGCTGAGTCTTCTGTCCTCTGTGTCCCAGGGCTTCACCTTGGTGGCAGCTCCTATTCTCCCGACAGGCTCTGCAGTGGCTATGCTGGTTGGTCCCCATGGCCTCCTTGCTTCCCACAGAGGAGTCAGAGTGCTCTTAAAATGTTAACAGGGTCCTAGAACTGACCTCTTAGGGTCCTTCTCAGCAGGCCCCTGAGCTGAGACTGTACTTCCCTGTACCCTCCTGTAGGACCTATGTGTATGGGTGGTCTCCTGCCCTCTGTGTCGCCTGAAGCCATACTGTCACTCCTCATACCCTATCCTTCCTTTCTTAATGACCTTTGTTTGCTGTCTCTGAAATGTCCCTGGGGTTCTTGGCTCCCAAGACCCTTTAATGAGACCTCCAGCCTTGTATGTATCTGGTGTAGTGCAGTTCCGGGGGTGACTCTCAGGACACTGGAGAGTAAGCCTGTCATGGTAGCAGGCCCAGAAGCACCCAGCACAGAGCCTGCATGGAGGGCCCTTGGGAAATGGCAGTTGCTGTCTCTTTCCTTCTGCTTATTTGCCTCATTCTGTCTTCCCTCCCTCCCCGCTTCTCCTTCCCTTCATCTTTGAGGTCACTGGTAAGGAAGGGAATCTTTGGAGTCATTGTGTGATTGTGAGACCCATCGTGCTCCAAAAGGAGTTGGGTGCCAGTTCAGGGGCTTGGTTCCTGGTCCCTTCGTGCAGATGGCACAGCCATTCCTCACATTCTAGTGGAGCCCAGGCTGTGTGAGAGGCTTTGCCAGGTCCGAAGGAAGCACAGAGAAGCATAGGGGTGGATCTTACTCTTGGCTCCAGAGGCAGGGAGGAGCCTACGGCATAGGAAGAGCTGAGAGGCTCCAGCAGCACAGGAAAGATCAGTGTAGTGGCTTCCAGGGGGTGTGGCCCGAGCCAGGTCTCCAGCCAGGGCATTCTGTGCAGAAGGAGCAGCAGAGTGCAGGACAGCACTGTCTTGATACTGCTGGACCTAGCAGAACAAGACTGAGGGTGAAGTGGATGCTGGATAGGTCAGGCAGGCACTTTCTGAGTGGGCTGGAAAATGGCCAAAGTATGGGGTCAGGCTGTACTTGTGCAGTGTTAGGGAGAGATGGTGAGACCAGAGCAGAGAGAGCCAGAAAAGGAGATGCACAGGTGGCCTGCGTTATGGGACAACCATGGATAGAGCGGGGCTAGGATCAAGGAAAGTCTCCAAGGCAGATAGGTTTGTGGTGCTTTCAGGACCTCCTAAGTGGTGGTGGCTAGAAAAGTGGTCACAAGGCAAGTGCAGCACCCACTTCTCATTGTGTGTGTGGCGGGGGGGGGTGGTTTGGGGGTGGGGGGGGGGGGGGGGGGGGGTCAGCTTTCTCTGGTGAAGGCTGCAGGAGGGAATAGCCAGGGGCGAGGTGCAGAGGCTGGAGCCTGAGGGAATCAGAAGTGGAGTGAGCCTGCCCAAGAGGCTAGGGCAGCATAGGAGAGGGACTGTGAGGTCTGGAGGGGGCTGCAGACAGACCTCAGCTGACCCCCCTGGTGGCCTCCACTCACCTGACTCCCTGACCCTGGTACCTGGGGCCACTTTCTGTGTACCCTTTCTTGCACTTTAGCTGTATGAGTCTGTGTCTTGCTCTTGCCTTGGCAGGGGACGTATACCTTGCTAAGAGACCGGGAGAAAGGGCTAGATACCAGCTCCTCTCAAGCAGTCATGGAACACCCAGGTTCAGAGGTGGTACAGGGCCTTCCTCCCTGCTCCAGCTGCCCAGGGAGGAAGGAGCTTGACTGTGCAGTTTTTCACACAGATGAACCCTGGAAAACCCTCCCTAATCCTGGTCTGTTCTCCTGATTTACCAGGGCAAGCTGGGTGCACCCCAGGCTCGGAATGCACCTCCTGCAAAAGAATGTTTTCTTCCTACTTCAAAAAGGAGCCCATGTACAGCCTGCCCTGCGGCCACCTTCTGTGCCGACCCTGCCTAGCTGAGAAGCAGCACTCCCTGCCTATGACCTGCACAGCCTGCCAGCACCCCTTCGCCAGCCAAGATGTGCTGCGGGTGCACTTCTGAGTGACCAGCCTCCACCAGAGATGCCCCACCAGGGAACAGGATTGGGGTCGCAGCCCTCTGTGGTCTGGCCAGTGACAAGCACAGAGCTACCTGATCTCTTTTCAGGCTTTGTCACCACACAGTGCAGCACAGGGACAGGGTGGGGCTGTGGGTTCACTTCTGCTCAGGTGGCCACAAGATAACAAAGCCATAGGCTGGGCTGGGAGGCTGGGGAAGATGTCCCTGCCTTCCTGTACCTGCCATGCCCTGTCAGCACCTACCCAGGCCAAGAACCCCTGCTAAAAGGCACCCCACATTGTCTGCACACCCCCTCCCAGCAGGGCCTGTGGAGTGGAACACAGTGGACTGCTCAGGGTCACTCAAGTGGACACATGGAGTTTGGGGTGCATGAGTAGCCCCTGTCCCTAGCTGGCCAACACTCAGAGCCTTAATAAAGTGATGGTTGACATCTTCCTTGGGAAGCCCTTGTGTTGTATTCCTGTCCTTGCATCCACCAAGTGACTGTCACAGAGCTGCCATGAGTAGTCACAGGCTGATTTTTGTCAACAGCCTAAAAGGACAAAAGCTGGAGTTTTCAGTCTACCGTGTGTGCGCACACGCGCATGCGCCAACACACACCCCTGCTTGGGGCTTGCAGTGGGCATCACCCGGGGAGGCTGTGGTGTAGTGTCTCTGCCAGGCACCAGCACACTGCTCTCATGAACTTCTGTGCTACATGTGGCACATTTCAGGAAAAATACTTGCTTATGGGGTGCCATTGTTTTTTTTCTATTCAGAATTCAGCTTTATGGGGTCCCCAAACATGAATTCCTACAACTTTGCTTACCCTATTGAATAGTACCTGGTCACCAGAAGACTCAGAGAGAAAATAGGCCACACTGTCCTGTGCCTTCCAAGCACCCTGGGAAAGGAGCATCCCACCGCATGCCTGCTTTGTCCTTGAGGTTAATGGCAAGCCTTGTGGACAGGCCACCCAGGGCTATAGTGGGATACAGAGCTCAGCATTTGTGCCAGGGAAGCTGCATTTGTGAGTTCTCATGGGATTTGTTCACACAGGTGGCTGCAGAGAGGTGGCCACCTCCTTTCGCTCCTCCCTGGCATGCACTTGGGTACGGCCCTCATGTGACCCCTCAGGGTCTACACAGACAGCCCAGTGGGCCCTTGGGCTTCCAACACCTCCACCCACGTAAGAGCTGCCTGCTCTCTGCTGTATTCCTGGGAAGCCCCAGCACGCAGCAGTGCACCACACCCCAGCCCTCCACAAGCAGCTCCATCCTCAGTGTTTGTCAGTGTTGAGTGCTAGGAGCCTTTTTCTGTTCTCCTGGAACCCAACTGCAGGGTGGGCAATCAACCCAGAGTGACCAGATGAGAGCAAAGCCTCCTCCTGGCACAGGAGCTGGAGACTGCAGGGGCCTGGGGACTCCATCGTGCTGGGCTTCTGTTCCCCAAGCAGCTGTGGGAAACAAGGCACAGGAGCCACCAGAGGGGCAGGAGTTGACCTGACCCAGGTGGAACCACCCTCATACTCCCCTGGAGATGTATCCATTGTTTTCTTGTTTTATAGATTCCCCTAAAAGGTAGTCTGTTTTCACTACTCTTGCCTTGAACATGCTGAGCCTCACCGGACTCTATCTCTTCCAGAAAAATGGGAATAAAATTTCTCTTGCTACCAACTGGGCCTCAGGGCAGTTTATTTTTCATCAGAGCCTGGGGCCAGGCACAAAGTGGCTTCCTAGTAAACACACAGAGTTCAGCTCCACTGACTGAGAAGACTTGGGGCTCCATGACTTTGCCACACCCCCACTGCCCTCCAGGTGGCCCTGCCCCTCTGACTGCGTGGAGCTCGTGTCTTCTGATGTCTTTGACTTGGGGTGGGAAGCAAGGAGCTTGAGGCTTGTGGGAGGTTCCCTGTGGGCAGGGTGATGGGCAACTCCATGAGGCCAAGGTCCTTGGCAGCTGTCTCCAGATGTCCATCCCCAGCATGCGCAAGTGAGGTGTGGCTGAGTCCTCTGTGGGCACAGAGTCTCCAGTCTTCGGTTGCTTCCTGTCCTTACTTGCAGAGGTTGGGCCACGCCAGCTGCCATTGCCCAAGTTGGTGGAAGGGAGGCCCTGTGAAAATTAGCCCCAAACATAGAAGTAGAAGAACCAAATGGCCAGAAAGAAAAGGAACAGCTGCTCAATGCTCACAGAGAATCCTGTCTCCCTGCAGCCAAGCAGCTGTGCTCTGCAGCCCCTTGGTGCTGGGGCTGAGCAGGCACCCCTAGCCCTACACTTGTTCTGCTTCTTCCTATAGGTCTCCAGCTTGAGGCCACTCAGCTGCTGGGCACCTTTCCATTCCCCAGGAAACGCAGGAAGTAGGTCTACAGACAAAGAGAACTACCCCTGTTGCTCAGCCTCCCCTGGTGGCATTGTGATGCTGGCCTGACTGCCATTGTGATGGCCATAGGGGTGGGGGTGGGGCTGCTGCAGGTTGGGCCCCTCCTGCAGAGCTGGGGTGGGGTGGGGTGTTAATGAGCTCTCTGCCCAGGCCTGCTGTCACCTGGCCCTGTCTCCAGGGGCCTGCTGGCTCCCTGCCCAAGGCCTGCTGTTACCTGGCCCACCTGCGTGTTCAGGAGGGGAAGGGCTGGGTTTTTGAATTGGTGAAAGCTGCACTGTCCAGTTTAGTAGTCTCTAGCCACACATGTGGTTCTTGACTTAAAAACAAATATAATTTAAAATGCAGTTCCTAGCCATATTTCTATAGTAGTCTCATGTAGCTGCTCTATTGGACCACACAGACCATGACCTGTTTCACCACAGCACCACTGGTGCTAGATCAAATTGGAACTTGGCGAGGCTATCCCTGGTGAGCCCCTTATTGCTATGAGCCTGTCCACGGGGAGAGGAGAGAAGACCCTACTTTGGAAGAGCAGCAGTGTGTGGGATGGGGGGGGCAGAAATAGATGAGCTTGAACCCCATTCCCCATGCACCAGACAGTCGCCATAGCCTTAGGTGGCAGCCACTGACCTGCACTCCCTTTCATACAGAAAGTTGCTCCAAGTGGCCTTGCTTGCCACTGTTTTTTTTTTTTTCCCAGAACCAGGGATTGAACTCAGGCCCCTGCCCTTGCCAGGCAAGTGCTTATTCTTCTGAGCTATCTCCCCGGCCCCTGCTTGCCACTCTTGATGGCTCAGAGGTTGGTTCAATGTGCAGACCAGCACAGAGATGATGTGAAGGAGGATCAAAGCTTTGGGGTGGTGGGCACGTTTTTTTCCATGAAAGTTGCACCAATAACAAGATGACATCATCTGTAACTACATGGTCAAAACATGACTGCTTGACATTTGCTGTTTTTCCTTCCAGTACTATTCTATAAAGAAAAAGGGGGTTTTGTCATTGTTTGGGAGGACATTGTTTTTGCTATGCTGGGGATCAAATCCAGGACCTCAAATCCTTGGCATCCTTGGAGGGAAAGAAAAAACAGCTTGTTTGCAGGTGGAAAAGATAATACAAAGCAGTGAAATGGCTACTGTAAAAGTCCAAAACTAGAGCTAAGAACTCATGAAAACTTAGTGTACTATAAAAGGTAGAGGGCCGGGGAAGTGGCTCAGGAGAATAAGCACTTCCCTGGCAAGCGCAAGGGCCTGAGTTCAATCCCCGGTTCTGCAAAAAAAAAAAAAAAAAAAAAAAAAAGAATCACAAATCAATAGTACAGGGCTGGGGAGATAGCTCGGTGGTGTAATCACCGGCTTGGCAAGCACAAGGACCCAGGTTTGATCCCTGCTCTGCCAGCCCCGGAACCCAGGTGCGCTGTACTGCCCCAAAACTGGGAGTGGTGATGCATGCCCATAATCCCAGCTGGGGAAGCTGAGCCAGGAGGATCACTACGAGCCTGAGCTGCATAGCAAGGCCCTGCACCAAATAAATAAAAGATTAGGAAAACAACAAAAAGCAAGTTAAAGTACAGATGGACCTTTCAGCAAGCCACTGGGAACAAGAAACTGGGTAAGAAGCAGAGGAATCTAGGATGATATGCAAGTTTCAAGTAGTATTGAAAGCCACACTGGTGGATATGTAATAATAAACATCTTTTTTTTTTTTAATTTTATTTATTTATTTATTTGTGTGTGTATGTGTGGCCAGCTCAGCCCACCAGGGGGCGGGGCTGGCTGGCATGTGGTGCTGGGGGATTGAACTGCGGTCCCTGTGCTTTGCTAAGCTTGTTCTAAGTATGTGCTCCAGACCACTGAGCCATCTCACCAGCCCAAACATCTGTTTTTAATATGCTAAAATAAGTAGAGAAAGATAGCCAGGAATGGTGGCGCTCTTTTGTAATCTCTGCTTTCTAGCAGGTTGAGGCAGGAGGCTCATAAGTCTGAGCCCAGCCTGGACAATTTAGTGACTTGGCACAACACTTGTTTCAAAAAATTTTTTAAATGTACTTGGGAAAAAAATAAATAAATAAAATTAAAAAATAAATGTACTTGGGTGGGGCCAGCATTGCAAGCTGGGGATCAAACCCCAGCCCCTGCGTCTGCCTAAGCAGGCGCTTTTTTTTTTTTTTTAAGCAGGCACTTTAATCCACTGAGCTATCTGGCCAGCCCATGAGTGGCTTTTCAACATGTAAAAAATCTTCAGTTTTGTTCATAATATGTTGAAATAAAAAGAACCCCAAAATATAACTTTTTACTTAGCAGACTGGCCAAAGTCCCAGTGCGTGGCCCCAGCCCATTGGTAAGGCTGTGCATGCATTCCCAGCTCCTGCCACAGGCACTGAGGGGATAGCCTTTGTGCTGGGCATGTGACAGTAGCTAGCCAGGTCTCTCATGCATGGATCTTTTGGCCCAGCCACTCTATTTCTAGGATTGTAGTCCAAGCATCCCCTGGAAAGATGTGTGAAGAGTTCCTTCCCTGGGGTGTGGTGACACATCTGTGGCCCCTGGGACTCTAGAGGCCAAGGAACAAGGATTATAAAGCCAGGCATTCGAAGCCAAACTCAAGGAACAGACAAACAGACAGAGACCTGTCTTTAAAGCAAAACATTCCTGCCCTACCAGAAAGCAGATTGGGCTGCCAAGGCTGGGCCTTGGGGGACCCAGGGACCATCAGCTCAGATGGAGCGGCCAGCTGTAGCCACCCTACTGGGCACAGGAACAAATGAGTTACACATACATTTTGTGTTTATCCATGAGGCCATAGGAAACCTTGAAGGTCATGTATATTAAAAATGCTTGCATTCAAAGCTGGGTGTGGTAGTGCCCATGTGTAATCCCAGCTTTCAGCTGAAGCAGGAGGATTACTCAGTTTGAAACCAACCTGGGCCACATAGTTCAAGGCCAGCCTGACTACCGTAGCAAGATCCTTTCTCAAAAAGAAAAAAAAAAAATTTGCAATCAAATATTTAAAAAGGGGCTGGAATGTAGCTCAGTGGCAGAGTGCTTGCTTAGTACATGAAGACCTGTGTTCAATTCCCAA